ATATACTGTTCACTTTTAGCTACAATTAGAAATGAGAGAAAGTCAAAGAAAGGAAGAATTTATGATTGTGGGATAGAGAGAAGAGAAGACTTAAGTATTCTTTTATTTCCATTTCAACCATACAGTAAATGGGTGAAAAACTATGAATTGTAAAGAGACAAAGTTCCTTCTTAGACTTTAGTGCTACAAAAAATGAGGAGGAGCAATGGATGGAAAGCTACAACAATTTAGGTTAATTTCTACATTTATTCAATCTTTATTTATACAGGTTAGTCTCATTGAGTCATGAAGACTCATTTACAAGAGAGACCTGTTACATGCAGAATAAGGTTTAAAGCCTTAAACAAAGAGAGAATAAACCTTTTGATTTTAAATATGCCCACTTGCAAAGGCAACCATAATGTTAAAGAAATTAAACTTAACCACTAAAATGCTATAATCAAGGAGAAATGTAAGATGTTTATCCTCAGTTCTCAAACACAAATAAATTTGACTTCATGTTGTTTATGGACCATTTTAAAATAAATTTAAAGTTTTATACAATTTGTGAACAACGGCATCCTTTTAGTTTACATTTTAGTGTTACAAATAAAAAACAGGGTTGAATTTGTATAAATTACCCAGAGCCCATAAGTTATAGCCAGGCTCGTACAAAAGCAGCCATTCAGATATGTCTAGACTTCATTCAGTCACAGTGTACCACCCATCTTGTGTGTTTCTGTTTATATGTGTTGCACGTGTAGCAATAGCTTAAAACCACTGCTCCAAGAGCTCATGCATGATCACCTGTGTTTTGTCCTCCACAACTAATAATGGACCATTATCTGTAAGTAACACCTGTAACAGACGGCACATTTCTTCACTTTTGTGTTTTTTAAACATCTAAGCTTGAATAATGTAATTTTTCCATGTGCACACCTTACTAATGTTTAATCCTTATTATCAAATATTACTACAAATTTGGGCCCAGGTTTCAAATGTATCATTGGACTTTTCTGTTATATGAATGTGTTAGTGGTGAGTCAATGAGAATGAGAGTGAATTTTTAGTAAAAGAGGTGTGTCTCTCTCTGTGTGTGTGATTTAGACCATGACACGTGCAAAACATGCAGTGAACATACACATCTTATAGACTTTCATGCAGTGACTGTATGTAAGTCACAAAGGTGATTTTGATTGTTGATTTGTAACGCTGCACTTTTGTGTCTGCCCTGCGTCTGTCTGTTCTCACCTGTACGTCTGTATTGTGCTTTTTTTTTCCTGGTTGATTTTGTTTGTTTTTTTTTGTCACCATTTATGTGCTGTTGCTACATGTGTGTCTGTGTTATTGTCTTGGTGTGTTTTGCCTCCCCTTTTTGGTTTTCATCCCTTTCTCTTTATCAGACGGACATTCAGTCGGTCTTCCACTTGACGATGACAAAAAGGAGACATCACTGAGTTTATCTCAGTCCCACAAAGGTCGATTTCAGGTGAGAGAAAATACACTGATTATATTTTCTTTTTTCATTTCATCATGCACTAAATGTTTCCAACATATCTGCTGATAGGTGACACCAGTGCCCCAGACCACTCCTCCAAAACATACACCATCAAGCCATGGTAGTACTCACAGGAAAGTGGGACGCTTCTCTGTAACCAAGACAGAGACAAAGAAAGAGGACAGGCAGACTGACAGCTCACCAGTGTCTCCTGATCTGGAAAGGGGGAGAAGGAAATCTCAGATGAAGGAATGCGATAAAGAAGAAAGTAGGAGGACCCCATCAGTGGCCCACCTGCCTCGAGGATTTGGACATAACCACTCACCGCTGGGCAGCAGTGATGATGATGATGATAATGAGAGTGAGCTGGAGGATGAAGAGCTGAGAAAAGAACTACACAAACTCAGAGAAAAGTAAGTCCACCAAAGGAGGAAAATCACTTCACTGTTTTACAAAATGTCTGTTTCCATTTGTTGACGTTTCTTGTTCATGTTACAATGTTGTCTGTCTGTAGACACATCGGAGAGGTTGTTTCTCTTCAGGCCAAGCAGAACAGAGAGCTTCAGGAACTTTACAGACAACTTCGTTCTCTTAAAGACCAAAGACAGAGTCTGCCTGCCTCCCTGTGCCGAACCCCCCCTCTTCCTGCAGGACCTCCTGTCCTCTCTCCACGCAGGCCAAGGCCAGCCAAAATCAAGCTTCGGCCACGACCTCACTCTCACATGGACAACAATGGAGTTGCACGCTCTGGTTAGGCTGTTTCACAACCCCCTCCCCCGTTTTATTTTTACATAGCTTGGTCTCTGTGTGATATTGGGTTTATTGTCTATTCTAGGGATTCAGCAGTCGAGTAGTTTTTCAGGTGGTGAACAGGGTCGACTGTCATCATTCTGCAACTCAAATCTTCGTACTTCAAGTCCTGCTAAAGCAGGTAGTTTTTCATATCAGTACCTAATCAAAACAACATGTATTTAATGCCATAAAGAAGATTTATGAATCAGTTCTTTTTTCCTTACAGATCACAGTCCCTCGAGGACGAGCACATTCACAGACGAACTGCACAAGCTTGTTGATAATTGGACAAAGGAGATGGTGGGCCCTGTTCCAACCAAGCCTTCATTGAATCAAATCAAGCAGATTCAGCTGGTGCAGGGAGGCTGGAGCCAGTCAGCAGAGGTAAACATCAGAAGACAACACTTTGCAAAAATAAACTAATTGCATATTTAAAAAATATATATATTATTTTATGGATTAGAATTTATCTGATGTCTGACATTTGTCTAAAAAAATCAAAGTACAGTTGTTTTGGTTTTTTTTTTTTTTTAGCATTTATTAATGTGATTACAGATCACACCACCAAACTGGTTTCCAGCAGCACCACTGAATCCCCAGGCACCTCCAGCCCCTGCAGGCTTGACAGTGGCAGCCGCCTCTCCTTACACAGGGGGAGGAAGCCTGGCAACCCTCCCCTGCCCAGGACCCCAGCCTTCGCAAAGTCACGCGGCTCAAGTGCCACAGATGCAGCAAAGTTTACACCCCCATCAGCCTGCCCCCCTCCAGCAGTTGCCCTATCAGCAGTCCCCTTTGTGCCAGCAGTTGTCACATCCTCGGATGCAAACCTCCATACACTCACAGACACAGCCCACTCTTTTGCTGCCCCAGTCAGCAACACAAAGCCAATTGTTGCTGCCTTCCCAAACCCCACTATCACCAGTGTCCACAGCCATGTCTCTGCTGCAAGGCACTGGCACCACTGTACCCACTGAAAGCACGGCTGTTACTGGGGCAGTGTTTTCCTCCCCTTCGTCTCCCTCGACTACCTGTTCCTCTTCTTGCTCAACTGCTGCTTTACCTTCCAGTGCCAAAAATCACCCAACACCCCCCACTTCTACTCTTCCTCTGGGACAGAAATGAAGCCTAGTGAATTGTGAGGTCAATATGAAGATTCGAGAGAAGGAAATGCTCAGCGAGTCAGGATGTAAGGCAGATTCGTTTAGAGCGTTAGTTGAATTCATGTGTGAGAAAACTGTGACTAAATTGAATTTAAGGATCCCAGCTTGCTTCTGAAGGAGATGGGAAAAGATTGTGAAAGACAGAAAATCAATTCAAGGATGTACAGACAGCGCAGCAGCTGGGGGTGTGAATGACTGGATGTTGCGATGTATAAAGTCATTAATGTATGAGTGTGTGCTTTTATGTGTGTGACTGTGTGTTTCTAGAGTATTTGATATTGATAACATATCACTTGTCCTTGGATACAAATGACGTTGTCTGTTTCTGTTTGCAAACCAACTCTGCTGGACCTGAGATCTCCCAAGGCAGAGACTACAAGAAGCACTAAATCAAGCAGATTCAGCAAGTGCACTGAGGCTGGAAAATGACTAAAACTTTCACTGTGCTAGTATTTTCTGTTTAAATTGCCAATGCTTACGGTGAAAGGACTATCAAATTTAAAAGTGCAATTAGTGATGGTCATTTAAATTGACCCGCATGTATTGTATTGATTTGTCTAAAAAGCTTCAAACATTTTTTCTAGAGGCACATAATGATTATTAGATACATAGAGGAACTTTTTCAAACTTGAGACTTGCAGCACAACATAACTCAGTGGCCAGTTTAAAAAACAACCCAAAAACATGTTAACAACAACAACAACACAAAACATGGCATGTTACATGGTTAAGCATGGTAAACTTATCTGGCTGCCCTCATTTCCAGCCAATGTAAAACTCCTCTGCATTGTTTCAGAATGTTACAATGCTCTTTGCATTTAAAAGAAAACAGTCCAAATTAACATAAATTCATTATGAAAACACAGCATGGTTGGCTACACACACTCAACCAATACTGCATGACCTTACAACTAATTGGATGTTTCCTAGCCCAAACTGCATCTACCTGCTGTGTGTTTATCAGACTTTTTGGATATTTGCAGCCTAAATATATAATCGTTCAAGAGTAAATTTGCTTTTAGCATTTTGCGCTTTCACATCTGACATCTTTTGCTTTCTGTTTGAACTCGGCATATCACCTTATATGTATGTCCTGCTAAAGTGGAAGAAGATGAACAAAAAGAACTGCCAAGTTATTCTTGACTGGGGAAACCAAACTGTATAGGGTATTTCCACGTTGCCTTTATAATTCCTGCTTTGTTGTGAGTGTGACTGTATGATTTTATGTGCAATGAAGTTTTCTAAGTCCCATGGTGTATTTCATCATGATTTACATCCCTTTTTCATTTAGCTAAAGCAGCCTCTCGGATGTCATGTACTCAAGTAAAAATGTTTACTCTGCCTGTGTTCCAGGCCTGCTTCCTTACAAAAGAAAACAAAACAAGACGTTAGATCGTAAAGGTTGAGAGTTTGATGTTTAACACTGTTGTGAAGTTCTCACTTGTCAGCTGTAATCTTTGTTTGGCAATTATTGTGAGCTATTTAGTCTTTACCTACAGGCTTAGTGTGACTGCATCATCAGCTGAAATGTGGTGTGTTTTGTGCACATCACTAACATTTCATTTAGCTTTAAATCTAATTTACATACAAAAATATGCAGGATAATGTATCTGCAGTTGATATATTATCATACGAGTTAGCTTTTTAGTGAACTTAGCCATGCACGTTTGACCATTGATGGTTAGGCATTAATACGATTACAGTGTAAAAAGTGGCCTGTAGTAAAAGCAGCATTTGTTTTTATTGATTATAGAACGAGTGTGTGGCTCATAACACACGAGGTTGCACAATTAAAATAAAAACTGCTAAATATGAGTCAAATAGAATTTGAATACAACTGGTACACACTGAAAGGTGTGGGTGAGAAACAGCATAATCCATAAGTAGGATTTTTAAAGTTTCTTTTATTTGTTGCTTTTCAAGACTTCCTACATTTGAACAGAGATGTAGTTCATGAATAGTGAAGGTGAGATACTGTGCTGTCACGTCTGATACTAACGTGTTTAACAAGCTTGGTCATTATGAAGCTGGCTTTGTCCTTTTGAGTGTTTCCAAAATGTGATTTAAAAGATAAATTATTTTTGTATTTTGAAAAGGGGTTGTACAACTTGTAAAATTTTATTCTCATCACTATAAACCAGAGGTTATTGGAAAAACAATTTTTCATCCCTGTTTACATGGGACTCCCTGTCCCTATGCACATATATAGTACTTCAAGAAGCTAAGGCCATTTCCTATTATTTTAGAAGAAACTTTCTGTAAATTTATTTAAATTATAATTTGGATTATACATCAACAAAAGGCACCAGCAGACCAGTCGGTCTGATCTAAAACACAAATTAAACCAAAAATTTTGAGAATTGTAAAATGCATGACTGACGACCAATAATAAAAGAAAATATGATAAAGTGTGTTGCTGGTGATTTAGCCCTTGTAGACTGTAACTAATTCAACTGTCAATTTTATTTATGTTTTGTAACTAATTAAAATAAATGATGCCAAACCTCAAATTACATAATTTTTTTTAAAGGGGATTTGCGGGAACATGACTTTCTTTTAAGGTTCTTGATCAACAATCTGGCAGGAGATGATGTCACCTATACTTTGACACTGGCCTGTTGGGAGGCATATTGCTACATTTCTGTCCCTTTAAAATGTGAAGAATTGTTTTATATTACACTTGTCATAGCAGCAAAAGCTTTGCAAGAAATTTAGCCATTTAAACAAAAACTATGGAACATTGGCCATTTTCAGTATTTCTTGGATCAGCAGTTATTAAGTGCTACAACAAGCACTTGTGGACAATTGCTGGTGACAGCTAAAACTAGCTGTTCACATGAGGAGGATCATCAGCCTAACGATTGATCGTTGATGCCTTGATGGCCCGGATCTAGGTGCTTTTTATAAGACTGAGTTTAGTGCAAGTCCTCAGACTGACTAAGTATTTTGGATAAAAGATGAAACGTTTCACCATTATTGAGCATGCATCTGGATTTTTCACCATTATTATTATTTTATTTGTCCTGAGGATCTGTCTTAACTTTGTTAGGTTTTTCTACCTGGATTATTGAGCATGCATCAGGATATTTTGACTGTTCTTTTTAGCAGTACAAATACTAAAACAAGGGGTGGGGCGGTAAATATTTCACTGTGTGTGCATGAATTTAAGCCTAACAACTGAGTGGAAACTTTCTAATTTACTATGTGATTACAAAATCCAGACTCAACTCTAACTGAATGATACTAATTAAAGAATACAAAAAACTGTGTTTTTTTTTATATGAAGTTGTCTTGCATAGAAAAACGAAACCAACAAAACTTTAAATGACAAAGTTTGTGTAGACGCCATTCTAGTGTGTACACAAACTGACCCATTCTTACCTTATTCAATATCTTCTAAGTGAAAAAATAAGTAATTAAAAATAGTGTTATTTTTCTTCGCTTTCACAAATTATTAATCTTTTTCTAATTTATTTACAATAAAATGAGGTTACACCGTGTATTTTTTGCGTTATATTAATTTTTTTAACCATCAACTTTCAGCAGTTTTTTTTTTTTACGCATCTCTTTTTGAATGTTCGCAACTTTATTGTTCCGTCATGCGTAGACAACAACGAACAACGGTCTGACGTTATCCCCTTTGAAATGGCGCTGAGGCTGTTTAGTACGCCGTTATTTCTAGTGGATATGCTCGTTTAGCTCTTTTAAAGTTAAGATCTTCTATTGCACTGCGAACATCTGTACCTGCCTTTTGACTTTGGGTGCCATTGAGTTGCAAAACAAAAATGTGTCGAAGGAAATTGTTAAAAATTTACGTTGCATAATAAGGCCGCGGAGGCCCCCGAGCTCGCGTAGAGATTACAACCGCTCGTCAGTGCGCGGCCCTGCTGCAGACCTACACTTCGGTGAGTTGCAAGCGGTTCATACCAAGTTAGCCGAGGTTTGTTAGACTAGAATCAGCTAATTTCATTCATTTCATAAAGAGTGATGCAACAATAGGCCACATAAGTTTAGAATTTCACAGTTATAGTTTTCTAAAACTTGCTTTTCAAACCCCTGCACCGTGTGTTTACAAACAGCTAAGCTAGCAGCTAACGTGACAACCTGAAAGCGTTATTATTGTAACGTTATAAACATTTAGCCGATCCAAAACAGTCTCCTTTTGAATTCCGTGAAAAATATTAAAAGTATTTATCTCAGTGTTTGGAGTTGCATCTTAAAATTTCCATTAATCCGAAGATAGATGTTACTTTATGAGTATGCCATGCTACCGAAAGAAAAACGTAAACAAGTTGAGTGTTCAGCCTAGCTATCTGAGTCGACTTTGTGCAAGAGCACGTTTCTAATCAACAAACTTTTAATGAACATGCGGGGTGCTTGTATTATTATCTATCGGATGACATATGTGCTCCTGCGGCTATGAAGCGCTTTTTTAACGATAAAATAAAGACGATGGTTTTCACAAATACTTTCAATACAAATGAGAATTGACTTGTCATTTTTAGTATTTTTGTGGACACGGTTATTTAAAAACTTAAATATATATATATATTCACTCCTTACGATTATTGTTTTGAGAATGAATTACAGCAACACAATTCTCCCCCAAGTACCATTTTTTTTCAGTCTCAACTGTAATCTAAAAATACTTTGAGTAATATTTTTTTATGGTAAAGTCTACACATGTACAGTATACCAAAATCAAATAATTATAGTTAAATATGTTATTTGTGAAATGCAGGCATAACTGTCATCTTATTTATGAATCAAAACTCTTCAAATGCACTTTTCATGACTGTATTTGTTCAGCACAACAATACACACTAACAGTTTTTTTGTGTTTGTATATGTTTTTTGTTTTTTTTAGGTTTTCAGGAGAATCCCATCGTGCATCTCTGTCAGAAGTATCTGGAGGTGAATTGACAGTTTTGAGTTTCTATTCATCTATTATTTAAATCCTCAATGAAATAGTCTCCATCTTGAATTCAGTTTCTATACATTTGACATTAAATGTATTTTTACGTACACGCACAGATAAAATGGCATCAGTGCCAGTGTACTGCTTGTGTCGCCTGCCCTACGATGTGACACGCTTCATGATCGAGTGTGACATTTGTCAAGACTGGTTTCATGGAAGGTAAATTATATTTGTTTTCTGTTTATTTATATGTATTTATTTTGATTATACTTTACTACAATTTTCAAATGTTAATATAGGATTTTATTCACATTTTCATTGTGTCTTTAACTCTTAAAATTTATTAGGTGTAATAGGTTTCAAATGTGTCAATATTAGCGTAACCATTTAGTCTGCATATTCTGAACCATTAAACTTGTGTAATACAAGTATTTTGTGTGATTATTTATTTTTATGTGTAGCTGTGTCGGAGTAGAAGAGGGCAAAGCAACTGAGATTGACCTCTATCACTGCCCCAACTGCCAAGTTACCCATGGGCCATCTGTTAGTAAGTTTCTTTTCTTTCTTTTTTTTTATTAGAGAGAGAAAGATCTAGCAGAATGAGCACAGAATTTGGCTTCAGTGCTTTTGTGTCCATGTGACTTAAAACCACTTGGTGATCAAATTGCCTCAACGTTACAGTGTGTTAAGCATGCATTCACATTTCTGTTTCATTTTTTTAGAAGTGCACCGGTTTATTTATTTTTTCTAATTCCTCTGTTTTTCCAGTGCGTAAACGGCGTGGAGGCAATAAGCACACAGAGAGAAGTGCTGGTGTAGGAAGAGACCCAACTCGGCCCGTTAAGACCGGAAGTTCACAGTTTGTTAGGGAGCTTCGAAGCCGCACTTTCCCAAGGTAAGAACCCCGTTTGTTATGATACACTAATTCATGTAAGTGCAACACGTTATTTTAGCAACGAAATCTAGAAGAAATTACTAAGTAATTTTATCAAATTGTTTGTTGCCATTGATTGCATTGTATTTACTGACAATCTTTTACAGAAACTGCCTTGTGTTGCATAAAGAATAGTTTGTATTATGGTTAAATTGTTGAACATTCAGTGTTTTTTTTGTGTGTGTGTCTGTGTGTGCAAATATCTGTGTTGTGCTTTCAGTGCTGATGAGATCCTGCTCAAGCCATCTGGAGTGCAGCTGACAGTTGAGTTTCTGGAAGAGCATTCGTTCAGCGTTCCTGTTATGGTGTTGAGGCGGGATGGCTTAGGCATGACCCTTCCTCCATCCTCCTTCAGTGTCAGTGACATAGAGCACTACATTGGTAAAGTTTCACTGCATCATTCTGAAATATCTTGAACTGTTTTCAAATAGTACTGGACAAAACCTTTGCTTTCGCTTACCTAAATGTTTTGGGCTTTTGAATCGATGAAGCGTCTATCATTTTAAAACCCGTTTAATTTTAGGTCCAGATAAAGAGATTGATGTGATTGACGTTCCTCGGCAGTGCGATCTGAAGATGCGGCTAGGAGACTTTGTTGAATACTACAATAGCCCCAACAGAGACAAAGTTCTCAATGTCATCAGCCTTGAGTTCTCTGACACCAGGTAAAGGAAACAAATAATAAAATAAGTATAAGAATGTCTCCTTGTTTCGTCTGTCCTCTAACGGATGTGACATGTTGGGTGTGTTTTAGGCTCTCAAACTTGGTGGAGACCCCCAAGATTGTGAGGAAACTTTCATGGGTGGAAAACCTCTGGCCTGTGGAGTCTGTGTTTGAACGCCCCAATGTGCAGAAGTACTGTTTGATGGGGGTGAAAGATAGCTACACAGACTTCCACATTGATTTTGGAGGCACCTCCGTTTGGTACCATGTGCTGAGGGTAAGAAAATGAAGGTTTTAGGTTATGTTTGATGGGTTTAAATTCAGTTTGTTTTTCTTAAATATAAATAAATTTATAATATTGTAAAAGTTTTATGTTTTTGTGTTTTTTCAGGGTGAGAAAATATTCTACCTTATATCTCCCACTCCAGCCAATCTGGCACTTTTTGAGCGCTGGAGTTCCTCATCCAACCAGAATGAGATGTTCTTTGGAGATCAGGTTGATATGTGTTACAAGTGTTCTCTCAAACAAGGAAACACCCTGTTCATACCAACAGGTAAGAAAAGGTCAGGCTGTTTTGTTTATTTATGTATTTACTGGAATGGTTTCAGCAGAGTCCAACAATAGAAGAAAACTATGGTTTAACATAAGAACTCGTTTTGAAAAGAGAATAATGTTTTTATTTTGACAGTGTTTAACGGTCAAATAAAGTCTGTAGATCAAATACTTCTGTCATTTTCCAGGATGGATTCATGCCGTGTTGACCCCTGTGGATTGCCTTGCTTTTGGAGGAAACTTCTTGCATAGTCTCAACATTGACATGCAGCTTAGGTTAGTTTTTACTGGACTCTTCTTAACATGTTGTATACTTTTTACTGAAATGTTATTTATATTTTAACAATACTTGTGATCAAAAATTCCCCAAGTATAAAATTTGAAACATAACAAGAATTGAATTGTAATTGAAAAAAAATGTTTTTTTTTTCAGGCCTAGTACATTGTCAATCTGAAAAACCAGCATAAGTTTTGAAACTTTTACATTTTAAAAACTGATGGTATTTACAGATGTCTGCACTCACAAGTAGTGCCAACTTTTATTATTTTAAAAAGCCCAGAATAAGAACATATTTATCTAGCCAAAAAAATTTTAAATAACTTTTTCACATTTAAGTGGACATGTTTTTTTTTTAATGTTTGATGCTTTTACTGAATATGTTCTTGTGAACTTATTTTTTGTGTGTCATTCATTTTCATCCTTTATTGTTTGAGTTAATGCCCTATTTTCATCCAAGACATTGTTGTGTATATAATCAAACTAATTTAATTTACGATAGAAATATGCTTTCTTAGATTCTTTAAACGTCTTCAAAACAGCAGAAATAACAAACTAGAGTTAGTAACTCTGCAGGTTTGCTCTTTCAGGGCCATTTCAATACATTAACCAAAAAGGGTGTAAAATGGGTGATTTAAATAGCTAAGATGGAAACATTGTTGTGTCTTAATTGACCGTCTACATATAAGAACCAACTTATCACCAATTAGCTGTCTTTGGCAAGAAAACAACTTCCTAGTAAACTAAATTTTGTTTTGGGTCAAATTTAAACATGAACACACTTAAGAACGATAGATCTGTAAAGATCAGAACTGTTGTGTATTTACAGAATTAACCTGCATGTTTTTGGCAATATTAACTTGTGGTTTTTTTTTAGGGCATATGAAATAGAGAAGAGGTTAAGCACAGCTGAACTGTTCAAATTTCCAAACTTTGAGACGGTTTGTTGGTATGTGGGGAAGCACCTTCTTGATACCTTTAGAGGTGAGGGATTTTGATGAATTTTAAAGTGTTTATGTGAGCTCCTTGATTATTGTATGTCTATTAATTGCTTTAATATTCACTTTTTGATCAACTTAAAGGTTTGAGAGAAAATCGCAGACACCCTGCAAGTTATCTCGTTCATGGAACTAAGGCTCTGAACAATGCCTTCCGCAGCTGGACCCGCAAAGAGGTAAAGTTGTACCTAATTCTTGCTTTTACAGTGTATTTCCTGCCCTGCCTCGTTTCTTTCTCCCCCCTTCCTAATAAGTTATGATAGCTGTATAGAGTTGCTCATTTTATACTTAAATAAATTGATAGATGCTATAACGCAATGGATTTGTGTGTCTAAAATCAAATATTTATTTAAACAATCGCAGTGACCTAACCATACTTCTTAATCTTGAAAGGGGTTTTGAAATTGCAGCATTTAAAGAAATGTCAGAAATTCAAGTATTTTTATTAGCTAATCAGACTTTGGCTGTTTGTATTTTCAATTTCCCACTTGAATGTTCTTCCTTTTTATATGTCAGTAAATGCGTTGTGAAAAGTTGCACAGCAGTCAGTCAAATGCAAATTTCTGTGTGATTTTCTTAAAATTGCTTCAGGCTTTTTCTATTAAAATTATAACAGCAAAAAGTGCTCTGCTATTCATTTCCAAGCTGCCATATTTTGAATGTGAATATGACAGATGGACATGAAAGTGCTTTTCTTTGTCATCTATCCATCCATTATCTTTTACCCGCTTCTTCCATTTTGGGTCGTGGGAGTTGCCAGTGCCCATGTCCAGCAAGCACTTTGTGAGAGGCGGGGGACACTCTGGACAGGTCCCCAGTCCATCACAGGGACACATAGAGACAAACGAGACAAACAACCATTCACTCTCTCACTCACACCTAGGGACAATTTTAGAGTTACCAATCAGCCTAACATGCATGTTTTTGGTCTGTGGGAGGAAACCGGAGTACCCGGAGAAAACCCACGCATGCACGGAGAGAACATGCAAACGCCACCCAGAAAGGCCTCCGGATCAGGATTTGAACCAGGGGACCTGCTCGCTGAGAGGCAGCAGCTCTACCAGTTGCGCCACCGTGCTGCCTCTTTGTCATATAGTTCTGTCAAAAAGCAGTGAAGCCATTTTTCTCTATGGTTCCATAGTGGTGATGAAATTCTTTTAATTTGATATTGTTCATTGTAAATTTTCTGAACATTTTGTAAAATAACGGATTTGCTTTTTTAATTTTTCTTTTTTTACCTAGGCCTTAGCTGAGCATGAAATGGAGATACCAGAGAACATCAATACTCAGACATTAGTAAAGGACCTGGCCAAGGAGATTCGTCTTGTAGAGGTAAAAAAAAAAAAATCTTAATTTTGTTTTGAAGTATTTATTTATTGATTCCCATATCTTAAATCTGTTTTACTCACTAAACTGTGCTTTATTTTGTTAGGATATATTTCAACAGAACCTCGGTCGCACAGGAACTCAGTTTCCAGGTGCATCACTCACTAAACCTCCCCTCAGCGCCTCACAGAACTCTGGACGCCCGCCTGGGAAAAAGAAAGGGCCGAAGCCCAAAGAGGTGTTGGGTGGTTTGGGGACCCCTGGAGCTAAAAAGAAAGGGCCGAAGGGACTTGTCAAATCAGAAGCAGAAGAACTTGACCTGATTGAGATCCATACCAAACATACACTCAAAAAAATTCAACCTGGCAAGTCCAAGCACAAGAACAAGGTATGAGGTTAGCATATTTTTAGAAAAGTAATAACATGCAAGTCAGCAGTTTGGGTGTCTAAATCTTTTTTTTTTTTTTAATGACATTTGCTATTTGTGTGCACAGATGGAGCTGCCTGTAGAGGAGTTTGAGGGAAAGCTAAATAAAAACAAACTTAAACTTGTTCTCAGCAATGGAAAAATCCAAGGGTAAGCATCAAAGTAATCTGAAAAGTTTTTGGTAGCTTGTGTTTATGACAGTTGTGATTTTATGTTTGTTTACTTTTAGTCAAAAAGATGGCAGCAGTAATGGTGCAGGGAGTGCTGCAAACTACAAACATCTCGCCACAGACAAATCCAGTCTTTCAGAACTGGAGTCTGAGGATGAACTGCAGATTGACGAAACCCCCCCTCCACGACGCAAGTCTGCTGGACCGAACAAGAAGAAAAAACTCAGCGGTAAGAATTGAGTTTTAAACATGTCTGATACTAAAATACATTCATTGTTTGGTTTCAAGCCCATCTAGCTATTCTCAACTAATGGTGTTTAAAAAAAATTCCCTCAGGTCTACCCAGGAAGCTGCCTAGAGCTAAACCTTGTTCTGACCCTAATCGCATCAGGGAACCAGGAGAAGTAGACTTCGACATTGAGGTATCTTTGTTGTGGATACACCAAATGTTTTGTCACAAGATTTGTTAAAATTGTCATTCAAGTTTAACAAGTAGAAAATAGCATATGATGTCAGTGGGCTTTTTAAGCCTGGTAGCTAACGAACAGAGGATATTGAAATGTCCCATCAAAAAACTTCTGTTACATGAACATCTGTTTATGTAAACGGGATCAGTGACATTTAATGGTGTTTCAGCCTTTTGAAGGTGCACCACTATTTTTTGTGGAATAATTCAACTTGTACCTCTTGTGCTTGTAAATTAAGGGCTATGGGGATACTTGAAAACGAACAATAAATCTGTTTAACTAGACAAATAGCTTTAGTTTTTCCTTGTATCTCATGAAAACTGTCTCCATAAAGTGGAGCAAGGGTTCAGTGACTCTCTCAGCCATCCTCACTGCTGTAATGCATTTTCCATTTCACGGTAAGAAATGGTATGAATGTAGGGGGCAGTACTCTGTTCAACCTAAAGAAGTGCAGCTTCTGATTAGGGGTGCACCGATAAATCGGTCCCGATTTCCTTAATTTTGGGAGATCGGCTGATACTTACATGAGAAACCAATTGTACTGATTTTTTTTGTAGTTTTTAACCATTGTCTAAACTTCATTTATATTTCAGAGCCAGTTAAAACAAATTTGTATTGTTTCTAGGATATTGTTCAAGGGTATGCTTTTCAATAAAATAAGATTGGAAAATTGAAGGTTCATTGTGGCCTTATAACACCTGACAGTGACACGTATAAAACAAAATCTGTATCGGCAGGTCAGGCTTTTTAGAAATCTGTGATCGGCCAGAAAACTGTAATCAATCGGTGCACCCCTACTTCTGATCTTTCTGACCGGATGTTTGGTTTTGAAAGTCCAGAATAAATCTTCAGTTTTGTTGACTCACAATATCATGAGAGGTTTCAACCACAGCTTGGGCTTATTTTAAGAAAGCTTCAATATCATTTCAGCCCTCCTTCGTTGCTTTTCTTCCGAGGTCTAAAGTACAGGATAGATAAGACAAACTTAAATCAAGTTAAGTGTTCAATGATCTGGTCTTCTCTGGTTTGTTATTCATGCCTGGAAGTTGCTATAGGATCCTCTGGTCCTTGCACCTCGTGTCCCTGGAATCACAGAATCTGTCCTAGTTTATTCCTCTGTGCATGCCTTCCTAATGGGCAGGTAGACGTTGTTTTGTTGCCAATCTTAGGAATACTTCGTGCCCTGACCTGGAAGCTGCAGTCTTCTCCATCCAAGGATGAAGACCTATGTTTGAGGCCCCTATGATCCAAGTTTTTCTGACTGGCACAACTCGTGAACTTTACTTCAAAAATATATTTTCTTCAGGATACACCTGATGGTTTACAATCAAGACATTTGCATACTTTTTTGCATCAAACATACCATGTTTCCTTTTTTTGTATTTACCTGTCTCGGATTAATGATGTGGATTATAAAACGATAGCTTTCTCATTTTCACTATTGTTTTAACCTGCTGAATGCTCTGGCTGCTTAATTACTTCTGCACGGTGACAACACACTATAAAACTGAAAGATAAATATTAATCTATCAAACAAGTTTCCTAAGGTCATTTGTTTATTTATTTATTTTTCTGTCAGATTCTTACCTGTTTATTTTTCAAGAACATTGTTCACATTTCCAGCTTATCTTCAATACTCAAGTAATGTGTTTGCGTGTCTTCAGGAGGACTATACTACTGATGAAGAGGCGCTGGCAGCCCATGGAGTGAAAGGTGGTGCAGGAGGCATTCTTGATCTGTTAAAGGCCAGCAAACAAGTGGCGGGCTTAGACCCTGCAACACTCAGGTTTGATTGCTTTCATTCTTCATTTCTTTTCGGGTAATCATTTTTTGTTTTTGTTTTGGCAGTATTTTATTGACTTGACATGTAATCATTTTTTAAAGTTTTATTTTGTCAAATATTTAAAAGGCTGAACATTACATGTGTATATTCTTTTACTTTTCATCTTAGTGAGGAAGCCCCAGCCTCTCCCAGCACTCGAGATGCCATCCAAGGTATGCTGTCCATGGCCAACCCCCCTTCCTCGTCCTCCTCTTCCTCCTCCTCTTCTCCTTCATCTCTCTCTGGGGGCCTGACAGAAGGATTAAGGGTCATCAAGGAAAAGGGTGGAAGAGCTGTGTGGTTGACAGGAGGAATCAAGAAGACTTCGAACCTTGAGAAGAAACCAATCATCCAGCGGCCCGGAAAACGACCAATCAAAAGGCCAGCTCGTCATCTGAGCGATGAAGAAAGCCCTGATGAGCAAGAGACACTTGGGACTTGTTTTAAAGATTCAGATTATGGTGAATAACACACTGCATTTCATCTGCTTTTGTGGGGAAAAAAAAGGTTTTTAAAGTATAGCTATATTTGACTTTTTAGTAAAAGTTAAATGATGTCATTCAATATTTTAAGTATACCCGTCTTTGGAGTCTGATGAGGAAGACCATATCAGCAAAACTAAGATGAAGAGGAAGAAAAACTGGGATGACACACCTTGGAGCCCTAAAGGTACTTGGAAATAATAGCCTAGCAAAACAGGACACATTTTATTTTTTTACTTTCTGATGGTTAATCTTTCATGAGTTTTTTTGTTTTTATTGTTTTTACAGCAAGAGTGATGCCGACTCTTCCTAAACAAGAGCGACCTGCCAGGGAAGGGGCCAGAGTTGCCTCTGTAGAAACAGGCCTTGCGGCAGCTGCTGCCAAGTTGGCACAACAAGTGAGTGTGAAAAGAGAGCACCTCAGAGATAGAAATACAGTAGTCCCTCGTTTATCGTACCCTGAAGCCCCGCGATAAGCGAAAAACCGCAAAGTAGGAATAGTAGTACAAGTAGTATGTAGTCGTTTATTTTAGTATATATATATATATAGGTGTTTAAAACACTTCCCACACTCTTGCGATATTCTAAACAATGTTTCTAAACTCTAAACACTCTAAAAAAGCACAGAATGTCATGATTTCAGCTCCCTGCCTCCTCGGCCACGCCCACTTCTCTGCTGCAGAGTGAAAATATGACAAGTTGCATGAAGAAGCTTCTCCTGCAGCTTGGGCTGCACACTGGTGCAGGAGGAAGCTTTTTCTGCAGCTATGGTCTGCACATAGGTGCTAAATAATTTATTTTGAATAAAGATTTCATGCCAGTCGTGCGGCTCATCCATCAATCGGCCACTTGTGTGTCATGTCCAATCTTATTTTGAAAAATAGCTATAGAACGAGTCCGCAAAAACCAAACCATGAAGTAGTGAGGGACTACTGTATGTATAGGTGCGTAATACACAGTGAGTAGTGCAGTAGAAAAAATAATTTATTTTTGGTTATGATTCAGGAACAGCAAAAACCTGCTAAAAGGAAGTACACCAAAAAGCAACATCCTCCTCCTCCTGTCGTCAGTCCTCCTCCTGTTCAAAGTGAACCAGCCCCACCCTCTCCAACATCTGCTCCAGAGTCTGCAGCAGATCTCAGCCCAGACAGGAGAATGGATTATTACTCTGCCAGTTTGTTAGACCATGAATACACAGCAGGGCCAGGACCTTTTGGTCCTGGAGGCCCCAGGGGCAGTGGAGCCATGGCTCCTGGTGTGTTCCTCACTTCTCGAAGGCCTTCCCTGTCGCCTCAAAATAGCAGTTGTCATTCTGGTGCATCCCCTGCAAGTTTAGCCAGCCAAGGAATAACAGGAATCGGTCAAGGTAGACACAAAACTTGACTATGAGCACATTCACAGCATTTATTTTATTTTTTTGCATATTGACTCCTTAATATTTTCTTTTCTTCATCACTGTAGGCAAACGCCCAAAGAAAGGACTTGCGACTGCAAAACAGAGACTTGGAAAAATTCTGAAAATTCATCGCAATGGAAAACTTCTCTTGTGAGAGATACTAAAAAATGTGGCTGAAGACCGTAAGAATGAAGAAAATGCCCAAGTGAAGTAATCGGAATACATAAAAGAGGGTTATATTTTGTACTTTTGTTTATTTTTTTTCCACTTGTGATTAAACCTCATTACATGTTGTCCTTCAGAACCCACTTACCCACATCTGCATCAAGGTCAGAGGCACATCTGTGACTTATGGAAATCACTGTCATTTTCTGGTAGCACACTTAATGTGTAAATTATTTGTTAATATCACAAATTTGATACTGATAGTGGACATTTTTGCAGATAATTGGGCTTTAATTTAGAGTGATTATAGTTATTTTTTATTTTTTAAATTTTTAAACTTGTTTTTGCGCTCTGAAATTGTACTGTCCATTTTGCATTTTTAAAGGGAAAGTTCAAATAAGTGCAAACTAATTCTGTAGTTTTGTTTATTTTAATAGTCCCATTTATTCCAGTTGTTATAAACTTGTTTGGCAGGTAATATTCCAGGACACCGTGTCCTCATTTATTGACATCCTTCATATGGTTTTATTTATTATTTTACGTATTTATTTACTAAGGCAGAATTTTGTGATTTTTCTAGCCTGTTTTAATGTAGCATGTTTTTGCCTCCCCTTTTTCATAATCTGTATGTTCGACAACGTAAAGCCTGTATAAAAAGTGTAGCCATTGCTATTTTAAGTTTACCTTTTAGTTTTGTCATTGTACATATTTGTATAATTTGTAATTTATATAGCTAAATTGGAAAAGAAAATCAAAGAGAATGCATGTTGCCCTAGGTTTTGGCAGCTTTCGTGGGTCATATGTAGAGATTTGTTTTCCTTACCACAGAATGTACTAGTGATCAAATGTTGGAGGTGTAGATTTAACTTTAAAAAAGACATTGTTATGGTGCAGGATATGAAACATGTAAATAGGTGTTGTAATTTAATTTTCTTTTTGTAGTTTAAAAATACTTTCAAATCTTTCGTAACGACTTGTACATGATACGTTGCTGTACTTAGGAAACATCATAGCTCTTTTTTTATATTTGTATTCATCAACTGTCATACTATGTTCATGTTGTCTTGTTAGTGTACTATTGGAAGTGTGCTGGGAAAAAATGCCCTCTCTAAAGTTCATCCATTTAGTTTTATATTGTTCATATTTTGTTTTGTTAAGCGCTTGTCTTCAGACATATTTTTAATATAATCTGGAAAAAGTTTAACGTTCAAATTTACCTTGACATAATTTTTAATGACGTTTATTTTCTGACCACCATACAGCTAAAAAGTAAGATTTGTTTTGTGTTTATTGCACTTATGCGTTCGGGAATATTTTGTTTTCCTAACATTTGAGGAAAAAAACTTGGATTTACGGTATGTATTTTTCTGGTATACACAATGAATATTTTGTTGTAATAAACACATCTAGACATAAAAGTCTGAAAATGGTTTTATATTATTTGTATTGGAAACATCAATACTTTTTGAGACTACCATTTTTTTTATCCATCCATCCATTATCTTTTACCCGCTTTTTCCATTTTGGGTCACGGGGGTCGCCGGTGCCCATGTCCAGCAATCACTGCAAAGGGCAGGGTATACCCTGGACGGGTTGCAAGTCCATCACAGGGACACATAACATGCATGTTTTTGGTCTGTGGGAGGAGAGGCCCCTGCCTGGGATTTGAACCAGGGACCTGCTCGCTGCGAGGCAGCAGTTCTACCATTTGCTCCACCGTGTTGCCCAATTAATTTTTTAAGTTTAAAGTTCAAATTGACCTTGACATGTTTTTTAATGACATTTATTATATGGACATCATACAGCAAATATTTTCCCAATTTTATTAAATAATTTGGCAGTGGGTTAACACATTTGTTAGTAAAAAGTGCCATTTTATTTAGCTGTAAATACACATCCATGCTAAACGAACTACCATAAAACCTATAAAATCGTATGTATTTTCGCATGTACGTAAAATAGTAAGTTTTATACAATGTCTTCGACCAAACTAGAACTTTCTGTCAAATCTCGTATGTATAATGTGGTGTTCTCGCGAGATTCCAACCAGTACCACATTAGTGCAAGATGGAGAAGTAGATGTAACGCATTTGAGGTAAGCAGAAAGACTTGATCTAGGCTAAAGACGCAGGATCTGGCTGCGGTTGCTGATCTTTTTTTTCCTTTTAATTAGTATCAACCATTTCTAATTATTCGCACTTACGGCGACATCCGAGAACGGAAACTAGTGTTTTTTTAAGGGTAAAGTATAAATCTGCTGTGTAAACCGCCATTTTTCACGGATGGAGCATTGTGCGCAGCGCTAGCTAGCTAGCTAGCTTGATTGAAGCCCTGAAACACGCCGCAAAAACACTACTTTGTATAGGTGTGTACGTTTTTACAAGTTCAAACTTAATGTCGTTGAACGATACGTGTACTTATGGGAAATAATAGGACGACCAGTAACATTTTAAATGTGTGTCAGTGTGGGAAAGTTGACTTGGGGATTTGCTAACGTTAGCCGTGAACGTAGAGTGAAGCCGAAGTAACGTCACGTCGCTTGCATCAACTTTTAACAGCTAACGTTAGCGCCAACACAAGCTGCAACTGCGTATGTAGCTACATTAAAAACTGACACCTACGACTCATTTAGTTACAAGCAACGTGGATAACCTGGAGTAGTATAGATGTTTTGTATCCCAAGTACTGTTGTCAAACTCTGCGTCATTTATTTAGCCTCGTGGACGAATTAGATATCTGCAACATAGCTGCTTTTTTAAACCGTTTTGTTTACATCTAAATCAGGCGCACCAATCTGTCAGATGATTGTAGTTAGCTGACATTAACTCTTGACAGAGCAACTAATACAAACATAGCCACTTTAAATAAATAAAAAAAATCGAGCCATTGCTTGCACCTGTTCAGCCGCTTGTCTGGTAACGTGACAATAATTCAGATCCATGGGGCGTGTTGCATGAACTGAAAGTTACCAAGAATCGTAATTTTTGTAGTTACTTTGGACGTATTTTGGTTGTTGTTGTGCATTTTATTTTAGGAGCATTTGATTTACTTTGATTTTCTCTCAAACAATATTTACCCTCCTTCTCTCAGTGATACTTAAAAAGCTTTTGTATTGACACGAAACTTTAAAGCAGAGTGCAGCGACAGGACCAAAGAGTTTTCCACCTTTGTAAGTTAAAAATCGATAAACTAAGGGTACAGTGCCAATTGGTTTACAGATATTGAACAGACGTATTACAATGAAGCTGTAAGGTTGGAATTTGGCCCAAACAGAATAAAAACATGAACCAGTTCTGTCACCTTTTGTGGGTGATGGTCTTGCATTTTATTACTGTGTCTTATCATCTCAAACTCCTTTTTGACCAATATGGCCACTTTCCAGATAATGCTTATCAAATGAACTCATCACATACTGGTGTCTCAAATAGAGAAGTGGTTTAATGTGCTCGATTTGCCTCCACAATCATAAGTCAAACAGCACAGTTAAGATGTGCAGCAGGAAAGCACACTGTACAAACCTGGTTATTGTAATAATGTACCAGTAAATAGGTACCAAAGTTTTTGAATGGTGTTTCCAGTTCCTTGTTAAATCGATACCACATGAAATTGTGGTATTTAAATGAAAAAAAGAGTAAAAGTTTAGTTATGAAAGACAAATTCAGTTGAATTTTGCATTCCACTTTTACTTTGCCATGCCAATTCAAACATTTTATATTTTAGACAAGCTATCAAAAGTAAAAACAGGTTTTACAAAAAGAACTTGCCCTTATAAAAATTTCAAAAATAATATTTTTCTGGTGTGTTTGCACTCGTCATCTACTGCAAATGATGTTTCTGGTGAGAAAAATTACATTCTACAAACATTTCAGAAGATGAAGACTTTTTGAAAGCTTTGTTTTGAGTGTTTTTGTGTTAAATGGCAAATGAACTGTACTTGCGTAGAACCTTTCTGCTTTACAACACAAGCTATCATTTACCCTTCCACTTACACATTCATATGCACGCTACTGCATCTTTACAAAGCTAATATGAATAAACCATTCTACAGAGTAATCACTGCTTTTGATCACATTCACTCACTGGAGTACACCAGGGGCAATGAGGGGGTCAGTGTCTTGACAGAAACCCTTTGACATATGACTGCATACTGGTGGAGTCAAACCTCTGACATTTGTTGGAAAATGACTGCTCGAACCACCGATCTACAGCCGTCCTAGTGCTTTTGACAAAGATTTGGGAGAAGCAATGATGTTGCAGCCTTATGCATGCCCACAATTGCATATATGTGTAAAGCATGTTCTGGGAACCACTGTGACAATGGAGCTGTTTTTACCTACAGTTCTGTCTGACTTAAGCGCTTGCACTAAAAATGTTATTTCTTGAGGTGAACTGACAAACTGTCAATCAAAAAACATGCTGCAGTTGTTTTGGGAACTTGTTTCAGCGTAAAAAAAAAAAAAAAACTAGCTATGATGAAGATTTTCCTCTACTGTATATATTTTTTCATGTTAACTTTGATGTTCTCGCCTCATAATTATTGTGGTTATTTCATTGCCCTGTGTTCATCATGTCTGAACTTGTTTTCCAAATTGAGGAAAAACACATGAAAATTGCTAGTGTAGCTGAGGCCATATTTTAAAGAAACACATTGTGGATGCCATAGTTTGAAAAGCACAATGGTTTTGAGGTGTTTAATGAGGAAAATGTGTTGCAAAATGGGTCTAATTTGGGCTAAGTTGTTTAAATTTCTTAGTCAAACAGGAATAAATTTACTGTTTTAATTAATTTTGACAAGACAAGTTTACAAATATCCGTCCCTCCATTATCTTTTCCCACTTCTTCCATTCCGGCCTGCTGGGGTCACTGGTGCCCATATCCAGCAGTCACTGTGTGAGGCGGGGTACACTGGACAGGTCGCAAGTCCATCATAAGAGAATCTAACTAACCACCATTGTTACTCTCACCCACACCTTGGGACAATTTAGAGTTACTACTTAGCTTAACATGCATGTTTTTGATCTGTGGGAGGAAACTGGAGTATCGGGAGAAAACCCACATATGCATGGAAAGAACATGCAAACTCCACCCAGAAAGGTCCCAGGCCAGGATTCGATACGGCAACCTTCTTTCTGAGAAGCAATGGCTCTACCAACTGTACCACAATACCACCCTAAATGTATGATTATGTAATAAGAGTTTTGCTTTCTCTGAATCACTTTTTGGGGGGCTTAATTCTATTTTTTTAGTTGTAGTTATGTTTGCAGATGCAACCTGGTCATGGTGTCTTGTCCCTTCCCAGACTTAAAATACTCTTTTAACAAATTCCCAGTTACAAAGTGCAATGAGAAAAATAAGTATTTGAACACCCTGCAACTTTGCAAGTTCTCCCACTTAGAAATCATGGAGAGGTCTGAAATTTTCATCTTAGGTGCATGTCCACTGTGAGAGACGTAATCTTAAAAATAAAAAAAAAATCCGGAAATCACAATGTAAGATTTTTTAATAATTTATTTGTGTGTTATTGCTGCAAATAAGTATTTGAACACCTGCCAATCGGCAACAATTCTGGCCCTCAAATACTTGTTAGCCTGCCTCTAAAAAGTCCACCTCCACTCCACTTATTTTAAATTAGAAG